AACATTAAGAATATGCCACTGGCAGCAACTGCATACAAGTGTGGCTATATGCATGGCATTTAAAGGGGGGGGCGGTATACGAATTATCTCCGCTTGATTTCAAATCTCCCAATTTCAGATGTTTAGGTTCAAATCATCTTATAGAAATGCTCAGTTTGGGGAATCTCTGTGTCTTCCTCCAGGAAGAAGCTGCAATATCTGGAATGCTGGCTTGCAGAAAACACTTTGTAAAGTTCAGCATCTTTCGCAAATCCGTACTTAACCAAGAAAGGCAGAAAAGGAGCAAGAATTTCTGTAAATTCAAAGTTGTCTAGTACCTGTGAGACTGACTTATGTTAAATAATGCCCCTAAAATGTGGTTATCCTAAGTCTACCTAAAGCCAAAGCTCGTCTGCAATGCTATTATGAAGATTTCACTATTCTGGTAATTTTTAAATCTATTTTTTTTCAAAATTGTATACCTTTTCATGAGTAAGCATATAACCAGATATATAAAATGATCTGAATATTCTATACAGTTGTAGTAGTTGTGTATGCAAGTTGTGCATGGTTTTTTTCCCCCACTTAAAATACTGAATGCTGGGCTCACTTAATCAAAAATGACTGATCTTTTAAATTCTTTTATTATTAATTTGAGCCGTCAGTCTAAAAAATGATGCTAGACTACCAAATGCAAAGCCCTAATGTGCGGTTACCAACCTAAACACCACTGACACTGCTGTTGTGCAAGGTACCCACAGAGTCTTTTCCTATAAAGCAACCAAATAAAATAAAATAAAATAAAACCCGTTTAGAGGACAGGCGAGTAGTGCAAAATCTGTGACAACAGCTGACAGAGCGTAGCTTAGCGCAGGGGTCAGCGCATTAACCGTAAAGCTTCCTTTTAAATTAAAAGGCCTGGATTTATTGTGTCGGAGTCCCGCCTTACCATACCCCAGTGACACCATGTATTTGCTTTAAAAGTGCTTTGACTTTCTGTGCCAAGCTACCTCTTTTGGAGTCACCTCCAATTGATGCACAACTGTGCCACTTCCGAGTTGAACAGCACAGACACCGAACGCTGCAAACATACGGTATTAGCTGCCGTTGCCTACCAAGCCAAACATCGATAGCATATATCACAACAACTGAAACAAACCCTTTCAAACCGATCCACGCAGAACTCTGCACCTCCTCAAGGCAATTCGCAGCTTGATTCGGCAGTTTACAAGATGTATTTGATGTTTCTCTCTTGAAAAGTTAAATCCCTATGGTTCCTCCACGCAGCAGTCGGCATTGCTTATTGCCAAGGCATGCAGAAGTTGCCCCTGCCATCTGGACCCTGCCGTCTCCCTCACTCTGCGAGGCGAATTAGACTTACAGGATTCCTGCTTTGCTCTTGTCTGTGTTGCTGTTGTGATAGTTTTTAGCACTTTACCAAGCACAGAATTGAAGAGTTTGCAGAATAATTTAATTCTGTTAGCTAGAGAAAGATAGGAAACCATTCAGCTTGAGCACTTCGAAGACACCTACTTTGTAACAGCTGTTTCTTGCAAGGGGGTTTTATAAACATATTTTTATAGGCATTTCTGGACTTTGCACTGAAATGCCTTCCCTTGCTATTTTTGTACTCTTCATGTGGCAAAAGTGGCTTTTGTCCTTTACTAAGGTATCAGAAGCTAGTATAAATGACCACTCTGGGTCTGATCTTACTTGTACTGTTGTTCCAATAACGTGCCTCTACTTTACACAGCTGTAAGCAGGAGTTAGGCCTTAGGGGCCAGATTTTCAAGAGCAGGAGAACGGGTTGCAAGCATTGCTGAAAATGTGCCCCAGCAGTGAGTACCGAGCGCCTGAGAAATCCCGCGGTATATCCCTCTATACAAGCAGCCTCCATACACCAGCCTCAAGGATCAGCACAGCTCAGCCACCGAACCCACCAGTAAAACCATTCCTACAAAGATGCAGCCTGAACTGGTGAACAGACTGGGATGAAATCCTGCCCACACTGAATCTCATAAAGAGTTTCACGACAGATTTCAGTGGAAACAAGAGTTCACCCAGGAAGGGAGAAGCCCTGGGTACTCTACCCTGTTCCACACTGCGTGGCCATATCAAGCCACTCAAGCTCTTTCTTCCTCGGGCTTCCAACTCTCCCCATCTGTAAAATGGATCCACCCCCCGTCATAAAGATGCTTGATTGGAAGTACAGCCGAACGGCATGCCCCTTGAAAGTGTTATGTAAGCAATGCTTCCATAGAAGGGTGTATTTGCAAATTTTCTACCATTTCCTGGGGCATTTTTTTTTTCAAAATGGCAAATTTGAGAGCAAGGAAATAATAGATTTGGAAAAGAAATAAGCACATATAAAAGTAAGGATCGCTATTGCCAATTTCTGATGCGGAGACCTTTGCTGAAACATAAGCGGTTTTCTTTGGACTTTCTCTACAAGAGATATTCTAAAGCTGATTTCATTCACCTTCCTTTAGCATATCCAATCATTCTCTGCAGTAATCTCAGCATAGGTTAAATTTTGGATCAACAGCAGTCAAGAAGGTCTAACAACAACTTTCAAAAACCCTTCTTTGTTTCATTCTCAATTCCCCTTCCCCTAGTCCCCAAAATCAGCCAGAGCGCCAAAGTGTCTAAAATCGTCCATTGGCAGGGTAAAAGTAAATATTAAATTGCAGCATATTTTCTTTTCAAATTGCTACATACTGGCAGCCAATCTATGCTGAACATTTGGTTTTTACTCTTCTTTGACCCCAAGGGGTTAAATATAATCATAACGTTGCTTAAAACAAACACCTTATTCTAAACAGTGCTAATCCCATCTATTACCGACCGGGTCAGAAATTTGGATATAGTCCCAGACCACTAACCACGTTCTGGTTAGTACGGTTGTGAATTTGCACAATTTTAACCTGAGGAATTTGAGACTTTTCCCTCCTGAGGGCAAGAGAGCTTTACTTTTTTTTATTATTATTATTATTTTTTATTTTTTTTTTGGGTATAAAGAAAAATCGCTACTGCTGAAAAACTGTCATAATCCCCTGCAGTGCAAGAATGGTGTTCAATTGTGAGGGTTTTGCATGTGCTCTTTTAAAACTCCCAAATGGTAATAACTACACTTGGAACAGCTTGGACAAATTGCATGTTGGGAGTCTCAGCAATCAGTTCAACATTTTGTATCCGATTATTGCCAAGGGTTTGTGCGTTCCTTGTTTTGTGATTAACAACAAAAACAGTGCAACAGAAACGCAACCAGTGCAACAAAAGGATTAATAGCCTTCAATAAATGAAAATGAAATCACCCACCAGGAAAAAGAAACATGGCACATTGGCTAATTTGGTCTTATTGGCCAACAGGGCTTCAGCTAGTACAAGTGGCTCATGCTTAGTGATACAGATGCATAGAAAAGTGAGGTTGGGAGAGACCTTTGGAAGTCATCTAGTCCAGCTCCCTGCAGAATGAGCCCTATCCAAACCATCCCATCCCATCCTATGACTAAAATTACACAATCAGCCATCACACAACTGCAAGACACAGCACCGTAAAGCAGGGGGACAACAGCAGGCACAGCCTTGCTTTTCTTCCTCTCTGGCCTGTCAAAGACCTTTTCAGACACAAGGCAGACAAGGTTCCTTGGGTGAATCTGATATCTTTTATTTTACAACCTACATGCCTTTTCAGACACAAGACACTCAATTTTACTCCCTGCCAAACGTTTAATTAAATATAGGCAAAAAATGCAGTTGCATTTCTCGCACCATGACTTCCTCTGCACAGCCCATCCAGATGAGCACTTAGTTTTACTGCCCATCTGTAACTCGGCAACATACTACCGGAGTCAGATTATGTTATATGGGTTTGTCGGCGGTCTCAGGGATCCATGAAACCCTTCACGTACGTAGAATCGGGGAGGGGTGGTGTGGCGAGTGCTATGCACCAGGCTTTCATGCTGGCACACACTGCAGATGCAGCTGAATCACACCAATGTGCAAATGGTAATGGCGATGGTATAGGCAATGGTATGCACATGTACTGAAAAGCAAGAGGCTGATCGTAAGAGAAGTCTGCCATGCCACTGTAGGAGGAGCAGCGTGGCCTTGGTCTGCTGAAATCAAATCCGTCAGTTTGATACGCAGAATAACCACACTAAAAGAATAAGGCTGCAAAGTCAAACACCCGAAAGTTAGACAACACCTGAATGAAGATTGCCTGAGCCCCCTAACTTCATGCTTCCTGCGCACGTGCATTATGATGTTCTAATTACCTATATATACTGGGGGGGGTTCCCCAAAGGGACCCTGCTTCATCCAATGTGTAAGATGGATGGTGTTCACCTGATAGAAACCTATTCAATTTGGTCCTCAGTGGGTGGCCCCATGCTTTGTTCATCAGGCACTAGTCAAGCCTTGTGCTTAGTTCATGTCTGCATTTGCTTGTCTACAGCCGTCCTTCACCATAGTTTGATTGCTTCACTAACAGCAATTAATTTTTCCTCGCAACACAGGTTACAGCCTCATCCCTATTCCACAAATGCAAACTGAGGCAGAGTGGCTAGAGACAGATGGGGGGCACCTAATAAAGAGACTCAGAGCTTTCTTTTCAGAGTACATAATATTACATAGTGCTCTCTAGGCATCCAGAAAATGAGGGGTGTGCAAACAGCAGCTATTTGGGAAATGTCTGGTGCACCCCACCCAGCAGCATGCAGGCACGCTGGGGCAGAGAGACAGAGCTTCTTACTGCCTCCACTATAAGGGGACCCTGCCTCCTTCAATCCCTCTCCCAACTTCCCCAGGGAACAAAGCAGGGATCTTGGAGACCATAGCTTCCGTCTAAGCAGAGCCACAATTCAGCCCCCAGAGCAGCTCCCATCCCTTGTCCGGCAGTTCAAATCTCCTCTACCTTTGACTCAGACAGCTTCCTCCTCCTCCCCACCAGCTGAGCATCGCCAAGCAGCGTGCCGCACAGGAAGGCAGTCTATCCTAATGGCTAGGGCTGCATCACAAACCTGGAGAGCAAAGCCATAGGCAGCAGGAGAGATGAAGCCGAGTGTCCAGAGCCAGAAAGCGCAGTCAGACGGGGAGTGAAAAGCCAGGAGGTCCAAGGTGGGAGTGGAGAGCCAGAGACAAAAGGCTTGTGAAGGGGCAAGCAGCCGGCAGTCCTAAGGGAAGTCCAGCTGCATGCAGCCAGGGTGGCAATTGGGCACAGCTGGACCCAATTAGGACTGATGCAGCTCTCTGCAGATCTCCCACTCCCTGCAAGCCTTGCAGAGCAGGTCACAAATGCAAGTGGTCAGAGGTCTCTAACAAGGCCAAATCTGGGCAGATTTTCACAGAGCTGTGACATGACACATCCCTACCACAAAAGCCACCCTAAAGCCAAGTTTCAGGCCCCTGCTCCACCATGCAGGGACACTAGGCGTTTTGGAAGGAAAGGTCCCCAGGCTCCCTTATCATGGGTAAAAGGCATTTATCCCCCACTGGCTTCGCTCTCTGAAACAGCCAAACTATTCTGACCAAAATTTTCTGGAACCATTCAGCCTGAGGCAGACACCCAGCATGGGTGTCTGGAGTCTTTCAAGCAGCATTAGTAATCAGCAGTGCCACTGGCCCCACCAACAGCATGCAAACCTTAAGGGATGCTCTAATCCCAGTCTTTACTTTAGGCCCGGTGCTGTTGTCTCCTCCAGAGCTGCAGGAGGAGTGCCGTTCTCTACATTTACGTCCTGTGCATGACCCCAGATTTACTAGTCGCAGGTACTTCGCTGCAGCACACTCCCATCGAGCTCTTTCCGAGTAGAAGTTACTGCCCTGCTTCATGCAGCCTGTCCCAAACACAATTTCTTCATCTTTTAATCTTGTAAGCAGAAATGCCAGTGTGAAAATACTGTGTCACAAAGACCTACAGCTAACCCCAACTCTTTTATGGAGCAAGTTATTTATTCCCTGCTGTGAGCCTTCCTGCTTTTACTGGCCATGTCTTTTATCGGCAAGCACCTTTTGAGCCGACGTCCCTTTCTGAATCTCATCAGAAAATGTTTCTAAGTATATTTCTAATCCATTTGTGCAGCATGGAATTCAAAAAGCTGAATTTTTTTTTTTTTTTTTAAGTCTTTTAACTTGGGAGTTTTCAACCTTTTTTCATTTGCGGACCCCTACAAAATTTTGCGTGGAGGTGCGGACCCCTTCCAGTTGTAAGTGGATACTTTTGATTGATCACAACCATCTTTGGCTGACCCCTTAGACATCACGGGGTCCACAGACCACAGTTTGGAAACTACCATTTTAACTGCATCCAAGTAGCTTTGCCACATTTTTCTAGCACTTCCAGCAATTCAGGATGAACCTCTTGAGCCCCACCGAGGGGGCCAAAGGTGTCCATTTGCAGTGCTAACCGATAACTAAACCTGCCAGATTCGAGGGCGTTTAAGAATCTGGATCCAAATGTAATTTTATCAGGCATGAGGCCATTTCTAGTCAGCATCCAAACAATTGGGATTAAGGAAGAAAAGCAAAGATAATACTCATGGGCGAAGGGGCGGGTAAGCGGAGAAACAGCAGCTAACGGAGAATGCGAGAGACTTAGAGGTACCGCTGGCCTTTGGGAGAGAACAAATGCAACTACAGGCTTTGAAGGAGAGCTGCAAAACTAACTGGGCAGAAACCAGGCATGCAAGGGTGTCTCCGGCAGCAGAGACAGAGAAAAAGCACGAAAAAGAAAAAAAAATACAACAGTCCCGGAAAGTCAGGTAGGCAGAGAGAGTCTCACAAATCTCTCCGGCACAAAGAAGATATTTTCACCTATGTGCATGGAGCCATCACAATAAAGTGCTGACTGACAGACCGAAGCTGTGCAATTTAAAGCAGAACATGCAGAATAAACCTCATTGTTAGGCCCCCCCCAAGCCAACGCATTATGAAAGGCATTGCAAACAACAGTCTGCCTCTCTGTCTCCGCATGGGATCCTTCCGCCTCATCACGCGCTTGCTTCAAACTGCTTTTCTGATCATTCCTCTCCCTTTGAAATGGCTGATTCATGTATAATAATCAAGCTTTTGTGTTTAATGTTTCTGATTCCACTTAGTCACTCTCTTCCCTCCCCACTCCCCACCCCTCGTTGTAGGTTCATTTTAGTGACACCTTCCTTTTTGGTTTCCCCTCTGAGAGGCTTCATTTCTCCCTCTAATTGAATTGTTGTCATGGAAATCATCCTTCCTCTCGCTCTTTTTGAAAGGCTTTAAAACACCGGCCCCCTGCACTGTCACTTTTCTCGGTGACAGCAAATCAGCCCCGCTACATCTCTTCCCTGAACGTGGAAGCAGCAGACTACAGTTATTTCTGCAGAGTCGACAACAGTAGAGCCCCATGAGGTTGGCAGCAAGGGCTGTGCCACTGGGTCCCGAACCCAAGGTCACAGCCCCGTTGTGCCTGCATTTGCAAGGATAGCCATGAGCCTCGCAGGACCAACATATAACACTGGGGCTCGCGAGCAAAGCAAGATCTCAAGTATCGCCCATGCAAAAACCCCGGGCACTGCCGACGTGGGCAAGCTTCTGCATTTCTACAGCCGAGGTTTCTGATCTGAATAGGGGTCAGACGCTACACTACAGTAATGTCCTTAAAACAATTAATATCTCATTACCCCACTAATCTGGTGGTATCTTTCCAGTTCATGAGTCACTAACCACCAAATATCAGGCATGTTTGTAGTGACTTGTTTTTATGTGAGATATAAAATAATTTGGCGGTCAACAAAGCTTTTTCATTTCTCCGTGCTAAAAGGATCATTGCGAAGAATCAGACTTGACAAACTGCCAGCTCGAGCATCACTGGCTCAGGAAAAAGCACAGGGCCAGGGTTATTTTATCTGGCCCCAACATGAGAAGCAGTGAGGAGTCGAACTCAAATGAAGAGCTGGGTGGAGTGCCAAAGTCCAGTCGGTGCTCCTGCCTCTCCAAAATTTCACACAAGGATTGGTTCGGTCATCTGCAGACGTGGGGGACGCTGCCAGATCCAGAACCACATTCAGATCCAAAACAGCATTCAGATTTTTAAAGCACCAAACAATTCAGATTTCTTTGAAAAATCTGGATTCTTATCTGTTGCTTCTCCGACCTGCTCACACCTTCCAGCTTTGCAGAATTTGACTGAAAAGCACAAGCCGGCTTCTTAAGAGTGCTGCATTTCTTCATGCCAAAGACAGTATAAGAACGGATCAGTGTCGCGGTATTAACAGAATATTAGACATGTATTAATACATATCATACTGTGTATCTATTACACTGATGAGCCGTTCTTATATAGTGGGTTTTGGCATAAACAAACACACCAAACTTGAGAATGTCTCTCCCTCATATTTAGCCCCGTGGGTATAGTATCTGAGCTCCCCACAATCGAACACCGATCTTACAGTTCTGATGAAACTCTGTAAAAAGCCAAAACCATATTTTCAGGTTCAATTTTAGGGGAGAAAGCATGTTCCCCCTCCCCCCCACCCTCAGAATATAAATCAATGAAGGCTTGGAACTGCTGTTGCCCCCACAAAAATCACACAAGAGAAACCAATAGTCAAGGAGAGAGCCCAAAGGGTTAAGTGCACTAAGCATACTAAAACCTGCACAGAAAAGATTTCGGACTTAGTACTTTTTACTGAGCATGCAAAAATACTAAGATTCAAGACTGTAGGGGGCCAGATTACAAGCTGACCCCATTTACAAGGAATCTAATTTTTATGGTTCTTTTGGAGAGAAAAAAAAAAAGAGGGAGGCTTACAATCCGAATAGCACAGGGCTTATCCTCACAATGCCCCAATGGGGTAGAGAATGCCTATTACCCCATTTTGCAGAATGAAGATAGAAAAGATAACTCCTATCCCCAAGATGACACAGGAAGCCCATGACAGAGCAGGGGACTAAATCAAGGACTCTGAAGTCTTAGATTGCCAATCTAACCACAAGGCCCCTGTGTCCTTCTTGGTCCTGCCATACTGCACTTCTCCTACTTAAAGCAACCTCCCCACAAACAGGATTATGCCTAGCACAAGCAAGTGAGCAAAGCAAAATGAACGACCAAACTCTTCAGAGACTGCAACCAGGCTCAGTTTAGGCTTGGAGGTTCTTCTAGGAGGAGTTGCTAGCTTTTATTATCCCTCATATCATTTTATACATTCCTCACTGCAGCTACTAAATCAACCTAGATTATCTGCAAATCAGCCCATTTCAGAACAAGGTGGCTGGCTTACATCATTAGGTTTTTTCTGTTATCTACTTGCATCATTTTGTAATGACATCATTAGCAAAATGGCTCTTCCCTAAATAAGCTATTCAGCTGCACTAGCCTGGTTTTGAAGCTTCTTCTGATAACTTCTCTTTGCTCTGAGTTCGCAGCACTGCTCCCTTCCTTTACGCGACTGTACATATGGAGTTCAACACAAGACACTGTTTGAGTTATTCTTTTGCTTAGGCCAGGGATGCTCAACGCAGCACCCGGCTTCCACAGGTTGGAAAATATTAACACCGCCACCGCTACCGCTCCCCCTCTGCAAAATTCCCACGCGCTGCATGGCCAGATCAGGCCCAGACCATTGCAACAGGGATGGATCTGGGCTGAACTGTAGCTGTGTGGTCAGACTGGCCCAGGCCGGGGCCAAGCATTGCCATGGTGCTGGGCCCCTGGCATGTGTCTGGATCAGGTTGTAGCTGTGCCCTTCCTGCATGCTGGCTGCAGCAGTCCCTTGCCACGTGGCTGGATTTGGCTGTGCCCAGACTGCATGCTGGATTTGGCCGTCAGCCACACCTGACCCTCATGCTGGATTAGCCTCCTACCACACGCGCCGTGCATGCCAGATTGGACCCACCGGCCGGATCTGGCCTGCAGACAAAAAGGTTGCGAACCACTGGCTTAGGCTGAACCAGCTTCTTTCCCAGACCTGAAGAAAAGCGCTTTGTGCCCCAGAGCTCGCCTAAAGTCTCTTCCAACTATACAGTTGGTCCAATAAAAGATGTCATCAAAGATCCCAAGGACAAGATGTTAATGCCTCACCATTCAAGTGCACGGCAGGCAGGAGAGAGTGCAACGGAAAGCTATTCTCACCTCCCTCTCACCAGAAATGTCACTGCCTTCTACAGACCA